GCACTTCGCTTGGAGTGAGTTTGACGAACTCACTTCGCTCGATCGAGCGCGTGGAATCAGTAGGAGTGTTTCAACAGTAAAACATAACAACACAGAAATCAAAAGCGTTGCGTAAGTTTTATTTTTTTAAATAAAAAGAAATTCGTGAAAAAGACGACATGTAGAAGAGTGGCATTGCAAAAAAAGTAGTGGGGTAAACTTGGAGTTTAGGCTTACCTGAATCAAGATTAGCGCAGCGGTGAATTGATAAAAGACGACGACAAAGTCAGTCATTTATGGCTGTCTTGGTTAGCAGAGAACGATCGAGTCTACTTTTGTTTCAGCATGTAATTATTCGATACAACGCGATAATTATGATCTGATTAGGCTGTGTCAGGGCCTCTTCGTAGGCTTCCGTGGAACGAAGCGGAACGCCAAAGTTGGATATGCTTCGTCTTTGTATTGGCTTGCGATGATCAATCAGAATCATCCAATTGGCGTAAAAATCGTTCATTAATGCAACGTTGTTTTAGAGCACAGCTCCTAGGCACCCCTTTCTGAGTTAAGCGGCGTCGGCGTAACCGCGCGTTGCATTAAGGGCTGTTTCCCAAAATGACGTCACACGTGACGTCACGTGTGACGTCACGATGGTAAAATTTTCCGGCTAAATTTTGGGGTAAAAGTTTTTGCTAAGTTTGGCGGAAAATTTTTCCGCTAAATTGAAGAAAAATTTTACCCGTTTGACGTCACATTTAAAATTTCATATGACGTGTCATGTGACGTCACACCTCAATTCAGCTGGAAAGTTTTCCGGCTAAATTTAGCGGGAAATTTAGCGAATTTTTTACGCTAAGTGGGATGGGAATAGGAGAGGAGGATAGGACGGCACGGAGGGGGAGCGGCTGCATACCCTCCACTTCGTACACTTCCTCCCTCTTCTCAAGAGCTGCGCTCCAATTCGGCATGACAGAGAATTGTAAAAGTCTAATTTTTTAACGTGTCTTTATTAAAGGGTATTGGTGGCCGAGTGGGCTAGCGCCCACCAGATCGGAGTACCTCGAGCAGTGGCGTAGCCAGGATTTTATTTCGGGAGGGGTTTAACGGCATCCCCCCCCCCCCCCCCCCTTTGAATGACGGAGGGTGAGCTCGCTGACACGGACGCTGAGGCAAAGATTAGGGAGGCGCTGTTAAGATAAAACGGGTAACGCTGCATTGTCATTTTTCAAAACGAAGCAGGCTTCATTTACAGGAATACGGGCGGGGTGGCTCACTGTTCTACTGTCGTCGTAATTGCGGCCCACCAACTTTAAAAACTTCCTCACAACACTCAACTCCCTCCGCTTTTCGAAGTAGCACTGCAATACCAACGCGTGAAGGCCAGACGAAACACAACAATAGCTATACTTTCACCAAAAAAAAAGTTAAACAGCGAAAAAAATATTTTTTTTCGACACTGAACAATTAGAGCAACCGACCACGGACGAACTCCAGGGGCCCATATTTAGGGTGAAGGTATTTCTGAACAATCGCAATACAAAAATCTATCATCTATTAAAGGTTTAACAAATTCGTGCTGGAGAACCGGATGCCGAAGGAAAGAGAGTGTTATCTTTGCTAGGCCGTTTTATCTGGCAGCGTGGTCCAAAGGCAGCAGCAACATATCCTCGGGGTAAGGAGAAGTCATCAGTGCGAACTCGTCGTTCCGTCACTCGGAGAAATGACATGACGCACCACAAAGACACTACACGCTGAACGTGGAAAGGAACTTGACTAGCCTTTGGCCTGTGCGTAGTGAGAATATGAAGGCTTGTCTCTTCAAGTTTCTAATGTTCCGTGAAACGAAGAGATTAAGCTAATAGTAATAAGGCATGCATTGCATCGGATGCCACCTTGACATACAAAGCAGAAAGCCAGACGGACTTCATCGCATCCGTGAGCGACGATTTTCGCAAAGTGAGGGAAACTTTGCCAAAAATAGGGAAATTTTAGGCGTCCAATGCAAGAGGAAGAAACGTGAAACGCCGTCACGTCTGCGGTATACAGGCGATCGCCCTCTGTCCGGAGGCCCTATTTCAGAACGTCCATCGTCTCCTAAAGATCCTAGTGGCTCTGCAACGGCGGAAGCTGAGCGCTTGTTCTCTTCATACGACGGTTGAAAACATACCTGAGAGCGTCCACTTCGAGTGAGCGACTGCTTTAATGCCAGACGCAGCCGATGCTGCAGGCGTGAACATGTGGCCCTGAACAGCGCTTGCACTGCACGAGCACGCGTGTTTGGCAGGGACGCTGAAAGCCCTGAGTTGGTACTTGTAGCATCAGCTACGTCTGGACCTAAGCTGAAACGTAGTATAGCGTTTTTGAATGTTCACCGCGACATTAAATTTCAAGCGGAAGACGTCCGGGATATTTTTTTCCGTGAACGGAGGCGGCTTCATTTTAATGTGTAGGCGCTTGGCATAAATGAGATGATAAAGAGAACCTGTAAATTGCATTCTAATATAGCAGTCACAGTTGCCTTTTTATTCGCGGTATATTCTAGTCGAAAGCACGTAATTCTGATCACAAAAGGTGTGTGTGAGCGCAGCGCCACCCGTTGCTTACAGTGCGATTTTTTTTTTTACAATTCATTTATTATTTCTTACATCACTTACATTATTTTATATTATCACCGTGTGTTTGTTTTATTATGTTCACATTGTTTTGATTGAACTGTGTGAAATTGCCATCCTTCACCCCACAAATGTTTCAAAATATCCATTCTCTATATATCTGAGATCAAGTTCCGCATCCCATCGAATAAACATGAATTAAGCAATATTGCATATTTATTAATTAAAGCTTTTTCTACCCCAGAAACAATTTTTCCGAAATCCTATAAGTTGGAGATGGTCTGTGCTCCCCCGTTGCTCCGTACCTCGTGCAAAACCGACTGCGTGAGCAGGGGAGCGAGCGGACCCCGTTTGGGGGGGGGGGGGGGGGGGGGGGGGGGTAGCTTTGGCATTACGGGAGGGGTTTCGACCCTCCAAACCCCCCCTCTGCCTACGCCACTCTGCCTACGCCACTGAGTCCTCGAGAGAAAGCTCGCGCTGGAGAACCCAGTGATCCTGAGCTCAATCCCCAACCCTGCCCGAAGAACACACTTCCAATGAAGTGAGTTCGGGGAGCACACTACGCTCGCTCCGGTAGACCGAGTGTGTAATCTCGATAGCAGTGTTCAAGGAGTAAAAATAATAGAAGAAATTATCGCTGCGTAAAATTAGTATTATTTTTATAGGAGTAATTCTAGATGCGCACTTGTTTTCTGTTGGCAGGAAAGTAGTACATTGTAGAAAAACAAGCGGCTAATCTAGTTTACAGCCTTGGCCCCTGCGCGACGGCCAGCGACGGCCAGGAGGCACCTGCGAGACTCCACCAAAAATCTGAAGGTGGCAGGAGAGACGCGAAAGGCTTGCTTGAAATGGAACTCGCCCAAATGGGGCAAGGTGTCTTCGAACCACCGTTCGTTCCTCTGGAAAGTCCACCGTTCTCGACTGATCACGGGTAGGTTGTCGGTCATGAGAGCGGCTATGGTGAAGACATTGGCCTGCAGCTGCTGATCGACGTCACTTGAAATTCTTGCCTGTGCGTCGGCATCCAGGTCCAGCTGCGTCTCATCTGAAAGGTGTTGGGCTCTCACGGAGAAAAGTACCCCAATCACACGCTTCCACTGTCCAACATCGCGGATATCGCCCTCCAGCTCGTCCTCCACACACTCCATGATGTTTCGTTGTGGCGAGTGGCCACCGTGCGAGTGGCCAAGTCGGCTCGCGCACACCAGCTTGGAGCACGCGGAGCGAAAGCTCGCGCTGCAGAACTCTGGAATCCTGGGTTCAATCCATACTTCTGCTCGTTTCGATCTATACTCCGTTTCACCTTATGTTGTACCGCAGACAAGGCTAGAAGCGCGAGCTCATAGCGTTGGGAGCTACTCTTAACGCACGAGAGCTTGTGCCGCCGAGATGTGCCCTGAGCAAGGAGCTCGCGCTTGTAGCCTTTCCTGCGGTACATTATAAAGTGAAACAGAGTATAGATGAGCATTGTACCGGCGTGCGGACGTGTATCACTGGCTTGTAATGGCTGATCGTAATGATCAAGTTGGATTTAAATTTGGATTAAAGCTCGTGACTTAGCGCAACAATGTGTGGTAACGTGTTTCTAATAAGACGACGAAATTATTTATGAAAGAATTCGTATGCACTGTAATATTTTGCGTGACAATGTAGGATAACCTTAGCTAGGTATACGAGCTTAGCTGGGGTAATGACAAGACAGTCATTCGAAGCATCCGAAACGGTCGAGATTGTTTTTTATATGTGTCACGAGAGCGCAGCCAGCTCTCGAGACAAACCCACGCGCTCGTGCGCAGCGCTCGCAGACTTGCCCGCCGGCCGTGTGCCGATAGATACATCACACCCATTACTTGCCCATCGTCATTGCCATCATTTTGGAGTGACACTAAGTTTTCCCGTGTAGCACCAACACACTTGGAGTGTGTTTCGGCGGGTTGAAGTGCACTCGCTTGTAGTGACACTAAACTAGCCCGTCTGACAGGGGTATAAGTTTCCATCATAGTACAGCTTCGCTGGTTTTCCTTGTTCACGAGAGTGGAAATGCTGAAAGTTTTTTTTTTCTTGATTTACTCAGGTAAGCCAATCTTTCCACAATTTGAGCGAAAGCTTTCACCAACGTCTGGCAACTCTGTAGTAAATCCTAGCGCGATACGTTAAAAACCCGATTATGCCGTCCCTTCAAACGGCCATCGATCCCTTTGACCCACGCGGCATCTTGGGTAGAGATGGTTCTCGCTTTAGAGGAGCATCTGGCACGTTACCAAAGTATTGTTGGCGTTGTCAACATTGCGATCCCCAGGATTTTCTCATCGAGCTTAGCAACCCCCGCGGTGACGATTTCGAAATGCGACTCATACAAAACACGACCACTGCAGCATGTTATCGTTCATTTGCCTACTTTATTCGTTTCAGATGATATTCTTTACAGGATTCGAGACAGCAATGCCGCCCACATCCTCACCTCAGCCAGTGAAGCTAAACGATTCAGCAACTTGCGTAGCAAGGTGGACGTAAAGGTAGCCACACACTTGCCCCTCCAGCAGCTTAAAAGGGTCTCACCGTCACTTGGCAAATGGTGAAGGCTATGGTTCCAGTGAGCCAATCAGCGGGCCAGGGAGACACACGTGTCTACTGTATCTCACTAGTTGCTGCCGAAGCCACGGAGAGAGGAAAACCTCTTTGTACGAATTTTGAGCGGCAGGTAACCTCTGAGGAGTGAGGAGTACGTAAGTGACGTGACTCTCGCCCCTGTATACCTAAGTCTCTTAGTAACCTAAGTCTCTTAGTAGGGGCTGTCACGTGCTTCGCCTCCGTCTCTCTGACTGGCTCGAGGGGGCCTCAGCGTTTGCTCTTTGCCAGGTTAAGCCGGGGTCAAACTGCTTATGCCGTGTAAAGACGATTCTTTGCAAATAGATTCGAACGCGAGTAACCGCGAGATTCGTGCTTTGTACGCCACATGTCAGAGTTCAAGTGAAAAACATGGCACGCGACAGTCGAACCACGGATATTGCGGTTACTCGAGTTTGCAGACTTTCGTTTGATTGATGTGTGAGCACTGTGATCCCGGCTTTACGGTGAAATCACTGATCTCTATGACAATTGCTGGATCGTGCTTCCCCGCTCCGCGAATGCGGCCACCTTCGGACATCTTAGAACATTCGCTCCAGCGCAGTCAAGCCTAGACAGTTGCCATGGTTACCATCTGTAGGTCACGTGACAACAGAGGCAAAAGTCACGTGAACACCGCCTTGGCAACGCTTCAGCGGGTGTCGTAAGATGGCCGACCAGTGACCGCAATCGTGCAGTGGGCTCGAAGCGGGGAAGCGCGATCCTGCAATTGTCGTAGATATCAGTGGGTGAAACCATGAAACGAAGGATTAGCGCCAAGATGTTTTGGTGGACCCCTCTTACGGCTTCCATCCGTGATGTAATGACCGTGAATTCGCCTCGCCGTGGCGCCACGAGAAATGACCTTGAGTGTTTATCATCAGATGCGACGACACTTTTGACGATGCGGAAGTACAGTAGAAGTTAGGAGCCGTCGCGTTCTTAAACCGACACTGCGGGTGCTGAGTGCTAACATGCTTTTTTTTGCCGCTGGTTCGGCGTGGGAAGCCGACCACAGCGCGGTTTTGGTCGCGCGCATCGCTGACAATACTTGGTGCTGAAAGTTCGCGTCACTTGAAGAAATCCGGACAAAGACACGTCTACTGCATCAGCGATCGGCTCGTGCTGACCACGAGTTCCAGCGTTCCACAGATGAGCCCAGCGGTCTACACGTGACTCCAAACAGTCTGACAACAAACAACTATTTAAAACAACTGGTGTCCGCTTGACATGTGGCGATTAATCGCGCGTGTTCAACGCTTTCAGGGTTACTTCTGCGTAGGAACCGCCCCTGGTTTTGTTTCCGTGCCCGACTTCAAGGAAATGAACGAAGACACCTTCCAGGAATTTTCTGTGGCCGACGTCAAGAAGGAAGTCATCGTACTGTTGTACACATCGGGAACAACGGGTAGCCCAAAGGCTGTTGAACACACGCACTACAGCATCGTGGCCCATTTACATCGGCCCGGGTGAGTTCTAGAACTTATGTATATGCGCGCGGAGGCGTGCTGTAATTGACAGACAATTTTTTTTAAAGGGCCGCTATAACTCCAGAGCTCGTATTTTTTTTATTTTCTAAAGCGATGCAAGTTTTAATCAAAGACACGCCAAAAAAAACCACCACGCAACGCAACGCAAAAAAAAAAAAAAAAAAATTCCCCACGCGCGCGCGTGCATTTTTATTTTTGGTGTTTTTCTCTACTGCTCCTCACCTCCTCGCTTCTTTTGATTTGTGATGTCAAATATCATGAAATTTAGAAGCTTTGTAGGTGACATTTTTGTACATTTAATAACGGCATTAGTAGAACGTGTTTTTTGACGCAATTGCGAACGCACCTCCTTTTTGAAATACCTAAAATCGAAAACCGGTGTGATGTCGCCACGTCGATGTTTATCTTCCCTCGGCTAACATGGCGGGGCTCGACGCATGTAGCAGAGGATGATCGGTGAGTCGGGAAATCGGACGAAGTAGTCCTTTTTTAGGTGTCCGACGACCTCTTAGATTTCAAAAAGGAAATGGTCAAACAATCAAAACAACTGTGTTTGGTGTTTGTGTATCGTAGATTCGATTGTGACTCTGCCGGGGCAGCCTTCAGCGCGGTACCGGCGAGACGTGGCCTCTCACGTCGCTCACAAAAATCCACAGCGCGTTCTCTTCGACCTCACACCGTTTCAAAGAGTTTGAGATCGCTGAAAGGGCCCTAAAAGAACTTCCAACTCGAAAGTGAAGCGTCGCCTGCTCGCAGCGATAGGCGGCACAGCACCGACGGAGGAAACCGGTTGTTCGCGCGACGTCGGCGAACACGACACTTCGGGTCGCGGAGACGACGTCGGCTCGGAGCGGAGGCGTGATAGAAACTCGACTCGCAGGATGGCTCAAAATTTGACGTCACTGCACTGGCGCGGATAGCGCGGAAATTTCAAATTCGGCATTTCGATTTTTTTTTTTTTTACTTCAAAAATATTGAATTTTCAAGTTTCGAATTTTGAGGGTAATGTCCAATCATCGTTGTCAATCGTTTAGGATAATATTATTCAGAAAAAAAAAACCTTTCAGCCTTTCCACTCTGGTGAAGAAGGAAGACCAGCGAAGCTGTACTATGGTGGGACGACCTCAAGGACGACTTCATTATGAGACTTAAAGGACGACTTCTTTTACGACCTCAAGGACGACGCCTAGAGCTCGACGTCTAGGACAACCTCAAGGTAAACTTCTAGGACGACCTCTGGGACGACCTTTAGGACAACCTCAGGGACGACGTCTAGGACGATGTCTAGGACGACCACAAGGACGACGGTTAGGACGACCTCAAGGACGACTTCAGGATGACCTCTTGGACAACCTCAAGGATGACTCCTAGGACGACCTTGAGGACAACCTCTCGGACAACATCAGGGAAGACCTCAAGGATGACGTCTAGGACGACCTCAAGGACGACTTCATTATGAGACTTAAAGGACGACTTCTTTTACGACCTCAAGGACGACGCCTAGAGCTCGACGTCTAGGACAACCTCAAGGTAAACTTCTAGGACGACCTCTGGGACGACCTTTAGGACAACCTCAGGGACGACGTCTAGGACGATGTCTAGGACGACCACAAGGACAACGGTTAGGACGACCTCAAGGACGACTTCAGGATGACCACTTGGACAACCTCAAGGATGACTCCTAGGACGACCTTGAGGACAACCTCTCGGACAACATCAGGGAAGACCTCAAGGATGACGTCTAGGACGACCTCAAGGATGACGTCTAGGACGACCTCAAGGACGACTTCATTATGAGACTTAAAGGACGACTTCTTTTACGACCTCAAGGACGACGCCTAGAGCTCGACGTCTAGGACAACCTCAAGGTAAACTTCTAGGACGACCTCTGGGACGACCTTTAGGACAACCTCAGGGACGACGTCTAGGACGATGTCTAGGACGACCACAAGGACGACGGTTAGGACGACCTCAAGGACGACTTCAGGATGACCTCTTGGACAACCTCAAGGATGACTCCTAGGACGACCTTGAGGACAACCTCTCGGACAACATCAGGGAAGACCTCAAGGATGACGTCTAGGACGACCTCAAGCATGACGTCTAGGACGACCTCAAGGACGACTTCATTATGAGACTTAAAGGACGACTTCTTTTACGACCTCAAGGACGACGCCTAGAGCTCGACGTCTAGGACAACCTCAAGGTAAACTTCTAGGACGACCTCTGGGACGACCTTTAGGACAACCTCAGGGACGACGTCTAGGACGATGTCTAGGACGACCACAAGGACGACGGTTAGGACGACCTCAAGGACGACTTTAGGATGACCTCTTGGACAACCTCAAGGATGACTCCTAGGACGACCTTGAGGACAACCTCTCGGACAACATCAGGGAAGACCTCAAGGATGACGTCTAGGACGACCTCAAGGATGACGTCTAGGACGACCTCAAGGACGACTTCAGGATGACCTCTAGGACAACCTCAAGGATGACTCCTAGGACGACCTTGAGGACAACCTCTCGGACAACATCAGGGAAGACCTCAAGGATGACGTCTAGGACGACCTCAAGGACGACTTCAGGATGACCTCTAGGACAACCTCAAGGATGACTCCTAGGACGACCTTGAGGACAACCTCTCGGACAACATCAGGGAAGACCTCAAGGATGACGTCTAGGACGACCTCAAGGATGACGTCTAGGACGACCTCAAGGACATCTTCAGGATGACCTCTTGGGCAACCTCAAGGATGACTCCTAGGACGACCTCAAGGATGACGTCTAGGACGACCTCAAGGACGACTTCAGGATGACCTCTTGGACAACCTCAAGGATGACTCCTAGGACGACCTTGAGGACAACCTCTCGGACAACATCAGGGAAGACCTCAAGAATGACGTCTAGGACGACCTCAAGGATGACGTCTAGGACGACCTCAAGGACGACTTCAGGATGACCTCTAGGACAACCTCAAGGATGACTCCTAGGACGACCTTGAGGACAACCTCTCGGACAACATCAGGGAAGACCTCAAGGATGACGTCTAGGACGACCTCAAGGATGACGTTTAGGACGACCTCAAGGACGACTTCAGGATGACCTCTTGGACAACCTCAAGGATGACTCCTAGGACGACCTTGAGGACAACCTCTCGGACAACATCAGGGAAGACCTCAAGGATGACGTCTAGGACGACCTCAAGGATGACGTCTAGGACGACCTCAAGGACGACTTCAGGATGACCTCTAGGACAACCTTAAGGATGACTCCTAGGACGACCTTGAGGACAACCTCTCGGACAACATCAAGGACGACCTCAAGGATGACGTCTAGGACGGCCTCAAGGACGACTTCAGGATGACCTCTAGGACAACCTCAAGGATGACTCCTAGGACGACCTTGAGGACAACCTCTCGGACAACATCAAGGACGACCTCAAGGATGACGTCTAGGACGGCCTCAAGGACGACTTCAGGATGACCTCTAGGACAACCTCAAGGATAACTCCTAGGACGACCTCGAGGACGACCTCTCGGACATCAAGGACGACCTCAAGGATGACGTCTAGGACGACCTCAAGGACGACTTCAGGATGACCTCTAGGACAACCTCAAGGATGACTCCTAGGACGACCTCGAGGACAACCTCTCGAACGACATCAGGGAAGACCTCAAGGATGACGTCTAGGACGACCTCAAGGATGACGTCTAGGACGACCTCAAGGACGACTTCGGGATGACCTCTAGGACAACCTCAAGGATGACTCCTAGGACGACCTTGAGGACAACCTCTCGGACAACATCAAGGATGACGTCTAGGACGGCCTCAAGGACGACTTCAGGATGACCTCTAGGACAACCTCAAGGATGACTCCTAGGACGACCTTGAGGACAACCTCTCGGACAACATCAAGGACGACCTCAAGGATGACGTCTAGGACGGCCTCAAGGACGACTTCAGGATGACCTCTAGGACAACCTCAAGGATGACTCCTAGGACGACCTTGAGGACAACCTCTCGGACAACATCAAGGACGACCTCAAGGATGACGTCTAGGACGACCTCAAGGATGACGTCTAGGACGACCTCAAGGACGACTTCAGGATGACCTCTAGGACAACCTCAAGGATGACTCCTAGGACGACCTTGAGGACAACCTCTCGGACAACATCAGGGAAGACCTCAAGGATGACGTCTAGGACGACCTCAAGGATGACGTCTAGGACGACCTCAAGGACGACTTCAGGATGACCTCTTGGACAACCTCAAGGATGACTCCTAGGACGACCTTGAGGACAACCTCTCGGAAAACATCAGGGATCACCTCAAGGATGACGTCTAGGACGACCTCAAGGATGACGTCTAGGACGACCTCAAGGACGACTTCAGGATTACCTCTAGGACAACCTCAAGGATGACTCCTAGGACGACCTTGAGGACAACCTCTCGGACAACATCAAGGACGACCTCAAGGATGACGTCTAGGACGGCCTCAAGGACGACTTCAGGATGACCTCTAGGACAACCTCAAGGATGACTCCTAGGACGACCTTGAGGACAACCTCTCGGACAACATCAAGGACGAGCTCAAGGATGACGTCTAGGACGGCCTCAAGGACGACTTCAGGATGACCTCTAGGACAACCTCAAGGATGACTCCTAGGACGACCTCGAGGACAACCTCTCGGACAACATCAAGGATGACGCCTAGGACGACCTCAAGGACGATTTCTAAGACGACTTTGAGGACGACATCTAGGACGTTGCCTAGAGAAATTCAGCCTTTCCACTCTGGTGAAAACCAGAGTGGAAATGCTGGAAAGGTTGCCGCAATCTATGAGCGAGGCCGGCAAACCGGTTGTCTGGTTGCCGCCGTAACTCATAGATGGCGGTAGCTGTCCAGAGTTTTGTGTCGACATTTGTTTGATGCCGGGCACGATCCTGGGGAACTTAGCCCTTAGCACCTCCACTGTA